TAGTCACTTTCTCCACTACCCACAATCAAACTGGGCCTTTCTGGTGCTGGTTCCTGGTTGGGTGGGTTTTGTGTACATTCTAGGACCCTGTGGGTCTTTCCAGTGAACTCTCCTGTGAGGCTGGGAATTTCTCCTGCCACCTCAACCCCCACAGGTGTTTTCAATCAGAGGTTTGAGGCTTTATTTCCCCACATTGGAACCCTGGGTTGTGTGGGAGAAAACAAATCTTTGCAGTCAAATCCCAAAAAACTTTTTTTTTAGTATAGAATTTAGTTAATGATAAAAAATCAATATTGGCTCATTAATATGTTAATAATAGGAACACTGTGTGGGCATGTATGGAAACTCTCTGTACTACTTTGCAAATCTTCTGTACATTAAAATTTTGAAATAAAACATAATTAAAAACATTATTTTGTGCTAGGCACTTTTCCAGGTCCTGGGGACACATTGGATAGCAAATAGACATGGTCCCTGCCCTTATGGAACTTACTGTTTATGGGGAAAGAGTAAAAAAAGGCACAGGTAAACAACTTCCAATGGTGAGATTCAGTATGACAGTGGCATTTACTTCAGCTAGGATTGTCAGAGAACATCTGAGACCTGAAAGATGAGAATACAATGGTCACACAAAGAGCAGAGGTGAAGGGAAGATGTTTCCAGGTACAGGAAACAGCATGAGTAAAGCTCATAATATAGGAGCCTCGACGGTGAGTAGCATATACAGGATGAATTCACTGGACAAAGGGATGATTCTTATCCCAGCTGGGATGAAGCAGGATGACAAGAGATTTCATATGTTACGCAGAATAGCACTCAATTTAAATCTTGTGAAATGTTTCTTTCTGGAATTTTCCATTTAGCATTTTGGATCACAGTTGAGTGTGGGTAACTGAAACTAAGAAAGCAAAAGTGCAAGTAAGGGAACCACTGTAGTGAAGGTAGACATGGAGAGGAGTGCACATATACAAGTTGCATTTTGCAGATAGAGCTTTCTGGGAATTATAAAAAAGGAGAGTTCAAGGATATTAAGTTTGAGATATCTCCAGCAACCAAAGTTAGATATGAGTCTGGAGTCAATACCAGAAATATGGTTTGAAAATACAAATGTGGAAGTCCTAAGTATGCAAATGACATGCCATAGGAATAAAGTCAGAAGAGAAGAGAAGATACAGATCAAGAGAGCAAAGAGGAGACCTAGGGAGAAAAGAAGACATTAAAAAAGAAGTCAGCACCCAAAAAATCTCCCTCTCTCCTTCCCTTCCCCTCTAAAGATAAATAAATAAAATTTAAAAAAAAAAAAAAAAAGGTAAGGAGAGGACAGTAAAAAAGGGCACCTTTAGAACATGGGGTTCCAGAAACCCAGTAAGTAAAAAGCTTCAGAAAGGAGACAGTGATCAACTGTGCCAAACACTTCTGTGAAGTCAAGTAAGATGAGGACAGAAAAATGAAGACTGACTTTGTAATATAAATTTTGTTGGAGACCTCGCTAAAAGCAGTTTTACTAATGAGGAGAATATATGGACTACAGTGGATTATTGAGTGAATGAAAGTAAGGAAATAAAATCAGCTTATATAAACAACATTTTAGAAAAGTTTGGTTTTCCTGGAAGCCAAGAAAAGGGGCACTAACTAGAGGGAGGTGTTGGACCCAAGGACTTTTGTTGTTCTTGTTGTTTGCTAAGTGGGAGAAAAGTGCATTTTTTTGTACTGACAGAATAACCTGAGCAAGAAGGACTGTTGGAAGATTCAGCAGAGGGAATGATAAAGGAACAAGCACACAAAGAGAACTTGGGTAGAAAAAGCACACTTCCTCTATTGCAAAGGAAGAGCAGAGATTTGGGTAGACAGTGTGGAGATGAGGGAAGCCTTTATAATGCTCTCTATCTTCTCAATAAATCATGAAGAAAGGCAGAAAGCTAAAAACCAAGAGGAAGATATGGCAGTTCAAGAAAAGACAAAAATTGCTACACCATATTGAGAACCCATGGAAGGTACATTACTTCAAAAATAGTCAGTTTGACCATGGCATTTCTCCAGCAATACTCCACCCCTCAGGGCCAGGTGTAGAGAAGGCTCAAAGATGGTCTCATTCAGGGTTGGGAATTTTCCAGGCAAGTATGGCAATAGAAAAGAAAATGAAGGAAATATAAAATTAGATCATTTTGAATGAATCATAGAATTTAGGTTGGGTAAGTTCAAGAAAGGTCCCCAGTAGGAACTGATGTGTCATAAGGAAGGTCATGGGGTCAGTGGATGGGTATCTCACTGAGCTCCAAAAAACATAATAGCAGTGTTTTTGAGCAAGTGAGTTTATATTATTGTATGATGACTAGCTGAAAATTTACTGCACATTTTATATCAGTTTAATGTTTTAAAATAATTATTGAAAAGTATAAGTAAATCCTGAGTATATACCTAAATCATACTGAACTGTTCTCCCTGGGCCATAAACAATGTTTACTTTGTAACTTGCAAGTCTGTATATTTCCCTTTCTCTGGGATGGTAGCCATATATGGTTCACCTATCCGGGTAGCTTCCTTATGTATGAATATGAGAAAATTGGGCTAACACAGGTTACCAAAGAGAGGGGTAACTCAGCAGATCCATGAGCCAGAAAGCCCAACTTTCTAGGTTCTGGGATCTTCTACTAGAAAGATACTGTAGTCAAATGAAGTATGGAGAATGAGAATTAAGACTACATCAAATTGATACTTACTAGAGCTGATTGTAGTTCATGCTACCTCTTCATGTTTACTACTGAAAACCATTCAAGTTCTGCCAACCAAATTTCCAAGTCAGGAAACTTTAGTGCATCCAGGAAGTATGAATGAGGAAAAAATATGTTTTTCACCACTCAAATTCATTCAATAAAATTTCAAATTTTACTTCAAAAAACTAGGTGTTGATATTTATGGCATACTTCTGAAAAGTTAGAGATCCTAGATTACTTAAGTTTTGTATTTGCACATCAGTTAAAAAAACAAACATACGACTACAATGTTAAAATGCCAAGTTAAGTTCACTCAATAACCAAAATGACAATGAAGTCATGAGCCACTCAATAACAGGAATACATTCTGAGAAATGCATTGTTGTGGGAACATCAGAATGCACTTACACAAACCTAGCTGGTACAGCCTGCTACACACCTGGGATATATGGTATAGTCTGTTGCTGCTAGGCTACAAACCTGTATAGTATATAATTGTATAAGCCAATACTAGGTTAAACCAAGCACAAGAGAAAATGATGCAATCCAGAGACAAGTAAACATGAGGTGAATGAGGCTGCTGTCAGTGTAATGGTACACTATTTTACAACAAACTTTTTATAAATAGAAAGAGTATACTCTACAATAAGAGTATAGTATAGCAAATACCAGTAATATAATCATTTATCAAGTCCTGTGTACTTACTACAGGTAATTGTATATGCTATACTTTTATATGCCTGGCATCACAGTAGGCTTACACCAGCATCACCACAAACATGTAATTTGTTATGCTTCCATATTGCAACAGCTGTCACTAGGCAATAGGAATTTTTCAGCTCCATTATAAACTTATGTGACCACCATTGTATAAGCGGTCCGTTGTGGACTGAAACATCATTACATGGTGCATGACTGTAGTCTAAATCATGATTTCTCAAGCCTTTGTTTTGTTTTTCTTCAACCTATTTGAGAGAAAGAGCTCATGACAATGGTATAGTATCATGATGGTAGGGTATATGTGGGTTGCTAAACAGAATTTTCCTACTTCATCTATTTCCTCACTGAGAATTAATCAGCTATAAACTACAGTAAATGTTTTAAATAATAGTGTAGGGGAAAAGGTAGAACTCAAAAAAGGCAATTATTAAACACACACAAAAAACAGAGCATCTACCTTTCTATCAGTTTTGTTTGGAACTAAAGTAGCATATAGGAACTAGGTTAAGGTTAAAGTTGTAATCTTGGTTCTAATGCCAGGTAAGCCTGCTTCAGCAACTCACTTGATCTTTGTATTTCCTGATACAATAGAGTTGATAACACTGATCCTACCACTTTTCAGGTTGCTTTAAGACTTGACTGAAAATTCATTTTTTATAAACATTTATTCACTTCCTAGTATGTCTAGACACTGATCTGAGGTACATAATGATAAAACAAATTCTTTGCCTTCACGGAGCTTACATCTTAGTGGAGGAAGAATATGAATAAAGCAAGAACTGGTGGTATGGGTGCAGGCTGAATCTGCAGAAATGTGTTAGATGGTCAGGAAAGCCTCTCTAGAATTTCAATAAAGACTTGAATAAAATGAGTTGGCAGGTCTTTCTTGGCAAAACACATAAGGGCAAGGCCCTTATGTTAGAAAGGTTTGGCAGGTTCAAGAAACAGCGGTGTGGCTGGATGACAATGAGCTGGTGGAATGGCAATGAGGTCCAAGAGATAAAGTTGGAAATGAAGATCATGTAAGGAGTCTGCCTCTCATACAAAGGTAAACGGGAAGACATTGGAGGGGTCGGAGCAGAAGAGGGCCATAATTTGACTTATGTTTCAACAGGATCATTCTGCTTACTGTGTGGAGAACAAATTACTAGGAGCCAAAGGTGATAGAAGGAAGGCCAGGCAATGTATTCAGGCAGACAAGGTAAGCTAGTTTAGAACATGGTGATAGGGGAGCACATAGTAACTGGTTACAATCTGGATATATTTTGAAAGAAGAGGCAATAGGGTTTTCTCATGGATTTGGATAGGAAGTATGAGAGAGAGGAGTAGAATAATAAGAATTTAAGCCAGAACAAATGGAACAAAGGAGTTAGTGATATAGGTGATTTGCTTTAGAATTTAAAGAGCATTATATAAGGGGATATTAACTAGTTCATTTTGTACCAGAAGCCAAATATTTGATAGATTAAAATTTCCTTATAGTGTAACATAACATAAGGTATTTCATGATTTTCACCAAATATTCATTCTGCAAATTCACTAGTCAGAGGTCAGTTTACAATCATGGAAGTTTTCAATCAGAAAAAAGTTTTATTATTAAGAAACAATGCCATCAGGTAAAAAAAGCAAAAAACTGTGCAATTATGGCAAAATGTTTAAAAATATCTACACATTTGCCCTGAAAGGACTACAGTACTTACTACATACCTGAGCACTAAACATTGAATGACATTTTAAACTGCTTCACACAGGGAATCTGATTCCTTGCAGATCACTCCCACTTTTTCTCATGCACCAATGAGATGAATTTGATGCTTAAGCATCAACTTTGTAGGATAACAGAATACAAAGATGAAAACTAAAGAATGCAATTAAAACTTTCCTATAATATAGTTATATCAAGTCCAGATTTCAATGTCTAAAAAAGATATAGGAAAGTGCTACATACATTCTTCAAAAGCAAAAACAAGATTAAAGAGGGACCAAGATATTTTCAACCTTTATTTTAATTCTGTGGTCCCCTTTGTGCATTTTACTTATATTCTCAACATACGATGCAAAGGTATATATATATATATATATATATATATATATATATATATATATATATCCCCACACATAGTACTCATCTTAGTTTTCTAGGTCTTCTTCTCAAATCATTTTAAAAGTGGCAAAGTATCCCAACTATATAATTTAAACAAATACTTCTTAGTACAAAATTCAATATATATTCTACACCCATAGCAAATTCTAAACCTTGGCTTTAACACACTATACTTTGATCACACCATTAATATAAATTGTTACAGCAAAAGGATCAACTGTTGTGCAGATAACAGAAAAAAAATCTACTGTGGAATTAATCACAGCATGTTTGTTGTATTCCTATATTACATACAACACATGTAAATTACTAACTCAACATTTTATATTATGCTTTCAAGTAACACATTATTCCTTAAACACAGAAGATTGTCAAAAAGCATCAGGGAATCGTAAGATATTCAACAAAGCTTTCAAAAATAAATTACATGAACATCTCTTGCAAAAGTTAGTTATTTTTGCTTTTCTTCCCTCTGCAATACTGTAAAGATGCTTTAAAAAAAACTCGCAGAAATAGCCCCCAAACAGCATGAAGATGAAGAGAAGGAAAAACTGGGGAGAAAAAAAAAGTTCATTGGTTGACAAAATATAAAGAGAATATAGCTACACTATCAAACCAAGTACGGAAAAAAAAACCCACATTATCTAGCTTCAGAAGACTAGCTTTTAAAATGTTAATTCTGTAAGACCTGTCTACTTTGAATTCTTCTTCAGAAAACATTTCCTACTGTAGAGATCTCAGACAGGCAGTTTGGAAAGTTTCTGAAAAATGAGGTATGTGATGCAAAGAAACAATGTTTTAAAATTATTTCACGGTGTCACATCACAATTTGTACAAGTTTCTAATTAAAACCATGCCTATTTCTTTTAAGAAAATCAAAATGTTGCACATGATGACAGACTCTGGCCTACACTCATATCCCTCATTGATTATCCTAGGCATAGTAAAAATTAAGTTACTGATCCAAATATCTACAAATAATATAACAAATGAGTTGGTTTGTCTTTTTTTGAGTATTCCTAATTGATTTTTAGAAATTCATCAATTCATATTAAACATGATTAAGTAGCTATAATGCTAGAGTTCTATTCACTCACTATTTTCCTTCTCAATCATCTTCAGCTAGAACAAGGTTTCCAACATGAAAATATTTACCACTATTAAGTGCAAAAATCTTTTAAAATGAGGTTTTTAATTGTCACATGTAACTTAAAAGCCATTAAATTCAACCACTGCTAAAGTTTTGTTTCTGTAAAACAGAATTTTAAAAGCAGGTGTAAAACTTCACATTATGATCTGTACAGAACAGAAATATGTTACCTTTCACTGTACCAATAAAGACTAGACAAGTAGAGAATGGAAAAGGAAGTCAGGCAACAAAATGGCCTATGTTAGTGCAAACTATGTTTAATGTTCTCACTATTCTAAGACTGAGTCCAGTTACACAAATAACTGGCCATATCTTGCTATCAGGTAAGTAGATAATCTTGTGCAATCACAACAGTTCAACAGGTAAAGTACAATGGCCACAAAATTAACATACCAACTTGAAAGGTAGGCAGACGCTCAGACAATTTAAATCTATCTAGCTATACCTAGCTATAACTTATACTAGCACCATCCACTTGTGATTCTGAGCCCTTGTTGGGATTTTTTAATGAGACAGTGTTAGCACTTGAAAAAAGTTATCAACAGAAAACAGCTATTTTAAAACTTTAGCTTAAAGTTATATATGAAATATGAAACAATCAGACTGAAAGTTCTGAGATGATTTGTTTTTCCTTCTATCTACTCTAACAGAACACACTTAAATCTCAGTACACTTGAAAACAGTACATAAATATATATTTATATATAATGTGTATGTGTGTGTGTGTGTGTATAATGAGAATCTAAGTTAGTGCTTCTCTGTGTTGGAGAGGTCACAGCTAAAGTCCTAGTGATATTGCCTCAGATTTGTACCCGTATTTAAAATAAAAAATCACATCAAACTAGTTTGGATGTCTCTAACCAATACCCTAATTGCTTTTATAAGACTGCATAGTTATTAATTCATCTGGTATCTCAGAAACTATTTTATCACGAAATTCTAGAATAAAAATGATTATTTTTATACTAGAAAAGAACGCTAATAATTGCACTTTTGTTACCTTTTGCTTATTGAAATGAAAACATCACAAGGATGAAGACATCCTTCCCTATATTGTAATCTTTAAGAACATCCACTTTCACATACAAACTCTCAGCTTTCTTCAATACTGACAGCATTTCTTGCGTCATTGAAAGTTTCCTCAAGTACTAGATATCAGTGAGCTCACTAGACTTGTTACTCAAAGTACTTTCTGAAGACACTGAGGGTAGAGTTTAGCAACAGCACATTCAAAATGCCGGCCAAGGTCCCAGAGCCGATCTGGGGTCTCATACACTTTCATCCATTCGTCAGTGATGTCATCATACTGGTAAAGGGAATTTTTTCTGCTGGTTCTGAAGACATGTTCTTCAACAGTCACTTGAGTGGCTCGAACAAATAAATGAAGTTTATTCTGGAAAAGTACCAGTTTAAGGTATGGATTTATAGACTCATCACATGGAAAGTCCTTCTTACGAGTCCATTTATTTAGCTCAATGTCATAGGCTTCTACAGTAAACATGCGCTGATGATTTCCACAGGTTCCAGCTATGTAGTAGATAGAGTCTTTGTATACAGCTGCTAAACCCTGGATTCTAGGCACAGTCATAGGGGTTAAAAAACCCCAGTAGTCTTTCTGAGGCTCATAGAAGAGGAAAAATTCTCCTAAAAAATAAAAAAAGAAGAAATAAACAAAACAAGAATAGGTACATTTATATGTCTTTTTGTTTATGTTGAAGACTAAAGAACATAATTTTCCAAATATTTCACTTACTAAAATACTGCTTTTATAATCTCCAGAGATATCTTAATTATAAAATAGCTTAAAACTTCTTTGTTCCATCGCACAACATAATATTATAGATTACAGTTAACCTGAGTTGGGGGTATTCATAATGGGGAGAGGTGAGGAGTTACCTTGGCCTGATGGCAGAATAGCAGTTAAGAACTTGGTTCCATTTTTTCTACCCATCTATGTATTTCAGAAAATTTATTTTAAGCCACCATTAAAAAAAGCATTATTACTAATGGTTAGCCAGTGAGGTCAAAGCACATATATAGCTTCATCATGAATAAGCCACTATAAATTTATATGCTAACTATTTAATTAGAAGATAGTATATAGAATTGTTCAGATTTGTATCTATGTGCTACTTATGTGTTTTAGTGTTTCCATAATGCAAAGACAAATATCCAAGAGGGAAAACATGGTTTAAATATGATAGAAGACACACACATAGTTCATGGAGTTGACTTTGTGTCCATTTCAATTCTATTTCAACAATAAAAGGGTGTTCTGAGTCAGACTGCCAATATAAAAATGTTGAAGAGAATTAAACTGGTGAAGATTTACAGGTGTTCAGCTAATTATAACATTTCTACAAAATCCTTGATATAAAAATCTAAACCCTTTATGAACAGATTAAATGATATAATAGCCAGATAGTACAATGTAAGCTTCTGATTATTCATGTCAAGTTTATTTACATAAAGAGGCTGTGTTTAGTTTAGCAATACCTAAGTAAGTATAAGCTTCTCCTTGAAAACTGTTTTTGAACTAGGTTTGCTCTTATCTACAAATTTAACTGCTGGCTCAATAGTGATGCTGTAATTTCAAATTTTCTTAAAATAGCTTGTTAAACCCCCAGCTTCTGCTTGCACATCACCTGCGCCGCTTAAATGATGAACTTGTAACCCAATAGTAATAGATGAAGAAAACATTTATACATAAGCAATTAAGAAACAAAAGAGAAATAAGGATGCTGGTATTATTAACATTACATTCAACATTTAAACTGAAATGTGTAAAAAACAAACACAAGGAAGACATTAATTATCTTAAATCTGAACCTTGGAACAAATGTCTTATTCTCATACAGTCACTTTTTCTACTTCTGCAGCATTTTAAATCTTTTAAAAAGCTAAGTATGTTAAATATTTCCTCTTATCTATACTGGTAAAAGTACGAAAAAGGTGACATCTCAAAAATTTTCCAGTAAAAAAAAAATTGAAAACAACACATTACGGAAGTCTGCAGTGAAATTAAAATCAGAAGGCTGTCACTTCAAATTCTCTGTAATTAAGTTTCCTAACCTTTGTGATCATAAAGCTTATATAAAATTCTTGGGTAATTGATTAGCATGAATTTAGTTAATGCCCTGTTCTTTTTTCTCTTAAACTAATATCTAAAAGAAGGACTTGCTATAACATCTCTTGATTAGGTTATTGAAGACCAAAAAAAAAAAAAGCCTTACATCAACTTGCTTTCTTGTTTAAAATGTTAAAAACAACTCTAAAATACTTCTCCAAAAATACTAAACTATTACTTATTAAAATGCTTTCAGAAATACTTATTCCACATTTCAAAGCAGAAAAACATTAAAAAAAACTAACAGGATTATTTCAATAACTTAAAAATATCTGCCTTTTTAAATTTTTTAAAATTTTGTATTTATTTCTTTATTTTTAGAGAGAAGGGAAGGAAGGGAGAATGAGAGAAACATCAATCAGTTGCCCTGCACATAACTGGGGCAACTAACTGGGGGCTGGGGAGCATCCTTGACCAGGAATAAAACTGGCAACCTTTTGTTTTGTGGGACAAAGCCCAAGCAACTGAGCCACGCCTGTCAGGGCTGCCTTTTTAGATTTAAAAGTTTATTTTCTTTATAGGTCCTTTAAAGAACAGACTGTTCCACCAAAGTTTATGATAAGAAAGCCCTAGATATTCCTCAATTAATAGAAACAAACACCTGTTTTAGTATAACTGAAACACAATTTAGTATAACTAAACACATTTAGTATAACTTGTTACCTTTTTGGGAAAAACTGAATCACTCAGGCACCTACCCTGTAAAACATAGATCTTCTCTTTGTACTCCACAGCATTATGAAACTCCATTGCAACAGGCATTGCACAAACAGTAGTCCAACAATTTTCTCTGCTGTCATAGCACTCCACAGATTTCAATGAGTTTCTCCCATCACCTTCATAAACACGCCCTCCAATTGCATACATTTTACCACAGCAATACACCAGTTTGCAGCCTATTCTGGCACGAAGCAAGGATGGTTTGGATAACCACCTATTGGTGGAATGGTCATACATCCAGAAATCATTTTCTGCCTTATGGTCAATGGAAACCTCACTGCTGCTTGGCCTGTATCCTCCTGCTATATAAATGTCATTATCTGGTGATATAAGAATCCCAACTTCTCTTAGATCATTTGGTGGTTTGCATAATTTAAACACTCTTCCTGTGACTATATCTAGACAAGGCACTGTTTGCTTCTTTCCTGAGTGTTTGTGGGCAGCATCAAAACATATGATCATTTCAGATGCAGTCATTCCAAGTCTCTGCGTACAGCCATTAGTATTAGATGGTCCCTTCTCTACATAGCTTTTTGCTATAGCCTGTGCAAACTGAGGTGGAATTTTCTCTATAAAGGTATCTTCCATCAGAGGAAAACGTATGCATTTGGCAAAAATTTCTGGAAGGTGCACTTCTCTCTCATTCTGTTCATGTTCAAACCACCGTACAATGCTTTCATAAACATGCTCTTCTCGGTCTACATTTAAATCATCACTATCTAGTATACTTATCAGCTGGTCTTTCGTCAGTTGGAGAAACTCTTGTTCTTTGGTGACACACAGAAACTTCTTACGAATGTATTCTTTTGATCGATCTCGGAGTTCCTGATGACCATAATGATCAGCAAAGATGAAGACTCCAATAGAATTTTGTGGGTCTAAATGACTGATCATATACTTAGCACATTGGTCTTGGATGGAAGGAATCTGGAAGATGCTAGCTGCAGTAAACAAGGCTTGAACATTGGCCTCTGTCAGAACAACTCTGGAGGTATAGGCATACTTCAACACTAAATCCATTGATTCAGCTTCAACACCAACTATTCGAACTTCTTTCTGAGAACTTTCTGTAAGGCCACTAGTGAACATGGATCTACAAAAGAAAGAGTACTTAATATTATGCATCCTATAAATAAAAATTATGGTGGCAAATATTTAAAACTATAAATTTACCACAAAAATAATGTTTAAAACTGAAAAATATTTCCTAAGGTGTCTCCCAACATTCTGAATAGGGATAGAAGTTGCTCATCTATCAAAAGGATTTAATCTGACTAATCTCAAATACCTCATTATCAGGATCCCCCACTTTGTGCCAACTCTGAAAAAAGAGAAGAATACCTAATTAAAGCATACCAAAAGATGGCATGGAATATTCCAGAATTATCTTCCTTGGATACCCTATCCAGGCTTCTGGGCAAGTTGCTTTAAATCACCAGGTCAATCAAAAAGTTTAGAATACTTATAGAGTGTTAATGTGATACATTAGCATATAGAGACTAATAAAACTTTTCGTGTCCTGGTGGAAATACATAAAGCAACTTCTGCCCAAAATATATCTTTAAATTTTTCACCTTAGAAAAACAAAACATTCTTCGTAAGTTGTTATTCTCTAACTATTCATATTTAAAACTATCTTATGAATAATTCCTTATTGATTATAAAGATTATAAAGAACAGCACTCTACTTATCCTTGGACATTTTGAAAATCTTTGCTTAAATAAATACACTAAATATTCTCCAAGTTATCATATATTACCTATTATATGTGCATGTGAATAAGGATTATGGAAGGCTGATTATAATGCTTACTTCTAAATGATTTATGAATTAACTGATTATTCAAAAATAATGGTTTTAAATCCCAAACTATTTCCTTTAAGATCAAGCTTTTTTAAAAAAATTAAAATATCTGTCCCCATATGGGCCTTTCTTGGCTAAAACATTAAGTAGCCAGAAGCCTCGCTCTTTATTTAAGTATTTGTTTTTTACAAACATTATTTGCACTTCTTACCCTCCTTTCAGGTTTCTTTCAAGGCTGCTCTTAAAATTAAAACATAAAAAACAAATCAAAATTTCTTTCAAAAGCACAGAAAGGGGCTGTGTGCCCTAGAATGCTTACTAGATGTCTATTGAAGAAATTGGCCTAACACTGGTAATATAAGTTAACTGTGTAGATCCAGACCCCTCCTATTTTAAGTGTTTAAATCCTCCTATTTTAATAGGAAGATTTCCAGTTACTTTTGAAATCTCCATTAAATGAATTTAAAATTCTGAGAAATACTGGAGATATACAAGGTATCCCAAGGACCCAGCTGACTGCCTAGGTTAACCATCTTTGAGTCTTATTTTTACTTCCCCAACACCAATTTTAAATTTAATATCACATAGGGCTTTTTTTTTGATGATTAAAACTAGATGTTCTAATATATGAGCTGGTTTTCAATTCAGGTGATGAAAAACTCAATGAAACAGTTACCAATTAAAAAGAAAAATAAAGCCCTTCATTAGGCATAGATTAACTCCCAAAGGAGAACGTTGCCACATATCCCTTTATCAGGGGAACTACTGACCTGAATAGGTTGGTCTCACACACAGGAGCAGTATGACATCTGATAAGTTCTCCTCTGTTCTAATAGGTTCTTTATGTAAATTCTAGATAAAGGGGGAACATATCCTCACACAAAACCCTGAGTAGCAAAACGTTTGTAACAATACAGATTTTAATTCTGACAAGTCACTGGAGTCATGAAACTGTTCCACACTATCCAAATTCTTCCACCAGTGATGCGAGACTTAGAAAATATTAAGTACAACTTTCTAGATCTCACATAAAGAGAAGCACTGTGCCAAGAAGCTTCTGTATAAAAACCACAAGCAAGAAATAACAACCAAGTTTTCTAGCCAGATATCTTCATCTAAATACACATATCTAATTTCTTGGAAATTAAGAAAATCTATTATAGTATACTTTTAAAATTATTTGATTAGGTCTTCAAAACTAACTTTAAGTATGACATTTAATAATATTTCAGTAAGAAGATACATTTTCACTTTGAAGTTTCTATTTTTTTAGCTACAAACTTTATACAATAAAAACGTCTAAAACGCAACTTCGAAGAGGACCCACACACCTGCTCCTTAAAAGTCAAAAAGTAACTAAGAAGCCTGGCTCTGGAATCAAATCCAACCTCGACCACTAACTAGTTAGATTTACACAGGCCACTTAATTTCCCCCAGTCTGGTTTTTTTTTTCACATGCAGAGTGGAAATAATGACTGTGTAGACAGAATTGTAAAGAGTACATAAAGCAATATATGCAAAGTAAAGTTACCCCAGAACTTGATAAGTGTTTAATTATGACATGTATTTATTAAGCACATAAATGACCTAACCATACCTAGTGGACAGTGCGGATAAGTGAATCTCATCAGCAGTTTCTATTACTAGGCCAAACTGCATATCTTTTCTGTACTATATAAGTTTCTTCTTTTTCCTTTCCAGCCCACTGCTTCCTAACGGTTAATACTTAATAGTCTACCCTAGCAAGTCTAAATGGTTACATCACAAGCATCAGACTGAAGCAACTATATTTAACTCAGTATTCTGAGAAATAGGAACCAGAAACTACTGTCTGGAACAGTACACTGCTATATGTCCTATAAAGGTAAGCACCTTCAAAAGGAAAAAAGCACACTTAAGAGTATGGCTGAGAAAATTATTTCCTGTCACTCACACACCATTATTAGACATTGAAAAGCTAAAAAAAAAATGAGCACTTGAAACAAAAGGAGAACTTAAACTCAAGCAGGAAGCTGTCTTTATCACTGATCTTTTCTTAGAGTATGAACTTATTTTTTAGACTCAAGTTTTAAAATTGTACTTTTCAAAGTTTTATGAGAATAAAAAATGAAAATAAAAACTTAGCTTAAAAAATGCTTCAGGAAATCTTGGAAAAATCACCAGTCTGGAACATAAAGTATATAAAAAACTATACTTCATTTATTTTTATTTCACTGCTTTTACCTCCATGGCATTAAAACAATCTATTGGCAGTTACCTGTTTTGTTTTAAACTGTAAAAGAGCTACATGCATTAAAGAAATATGCATCATGGATAAATTTCTGAAACAAATTCTAGACCAGCACCGTTCAATAAAATTTTCGGTAATGGAAATGCTCTGTATCTGGGCTGTGCAATGTGGCAGTTGCTACCTACATGTGGCTGCTGAGCACTTTAAGTGTGGTTATTGTGCCTAAAAAACTGAATTTTGAATTTTGTTTAATTTTAAATAAAGTTTCAATGCCACATGGCCAGTGGCTGCCATATTGGGAAGCACAATTCTAGACTTTCTGGTCATTTATCTGAAACAAACAAACAAACAAACATAAAAAAAACAACCACCTGAATTCTAGGATAGAACAAGTCAAAACAAGAAAAAAATGTACCGCCTGTTACCTATTTTCACAAAACAAACTCATTGGTTTTATTTCATTGTAGCACGTCAGTATTGTAATCAAATGGCCAATGGTGAGGGGGAAAAGAGAACTCGGTGCGGATATTAACAGAAGTCTCTACCATCATCATACCTGAAGTAAGGGCTGATTGCAGCAAGAACGTTTCTATGACAGGAAAATGTTTTCCCGTGATCCACTTCCACTACAATGTCTGTCAACTGTCCTTCATCGTACATTGTTTTGAGTTGCTTAAGAATACTGCAAGCATGGAAGGGGTCCATGGCATCGCTGGCTGTGTCTGAAGATGGAATCCCATTCGGAGTTGGGGAAGACTTATTTAAATCTAGGAGGAGAAAAATCGTACAACCACAAGAAGTTCGGAGCCAGTTACGGCGTCTCGGATTTTTTGTTTTGTTTGTTTTTTGTTTGCTTGTCTTGTTTTTCTCCCCTACAAAAATACACGGATGCATACGTACACCACCAAATGACACCGCAAGGGAAGAAGTGGGACAGCACGAGCTGCGATGAGAGTTCAAACACCAGCCTACTCCTCCGGAGCCCGGCGAGCCCGATGCCCGTGCTCGCCAAGCGTCGGTGCGGACAGACAAGAAGTGTCTGTGGGGACCCGACCGACAGCCGGAAGATCCCAACAGAGAGCCGAGGGCAGGAGCCTCACAAGGGACGCGCAAGGGATGACGGCCGCCGGTACTCCTTCAACCGCCTCTCGAAAGGTTGGAACTGCGGCGGGTACCGGCTTCCCTTATTCTGGTCCGGCCGGACCGCCCACCGCCCTCCACGCCGTCCGTCCTCCCTCCCCTCATCCCTCTTCACCTCTCCATCTTTCTCTCCGGCTCCCCATCGTCACAACCACAGCTCTGAGAATGAGCCTGGTCCCCGGCCCGCCTCCCCCGCAACGCACCTCCCTAGCCAAGAAACGACCCACCTGCCGACGCGGCCATTTCTCCACGGGGCCCCAGCTCCAGCTATTTAAAGAGGAAATGTCATTTCGCATCACTATATCACAGGTTCCGGCTCTTCTGAGCTACCCCTAGCCAATGGGATGGCCTATGAGTGAGGCTCCGCCCCCAATTTTCTAATTCCTAGCATTGATTGGTCAGAGTGTACGCAGGGCGCACCGGGAAATGTAGTTTTATTGTCCCCGCTCCCTCGTGGTATGGGTGGGGTGGTGGCCAAAGCCGGGGATTCTTATTGGCTGATTCCTGAGAAGGTGGAGAGCTGGGGGGTCGCCAGCTTGTGTCAGTGAGGCACGCAGTGCCTGCCCAGCGTGGTATAGTCTTGTGGCTGAGAACTGTCATACAGAGGGCCTGGGGTTGGGGAAGCTCTTGAAGGGGAAATTATCCCGTTGTAGGCCTGTCTCAGGTCCCCGGCTCATTTTTTTTTTTTTTTAATCTTGTTCTTCACCTGGGGAGGGAGGCGGGGATGGCCTGGGTCGGGGGCTGTGGTGGAGGGTAAATGCAGACAACCGTACTTGAACGACAATAAAATAATTAAAAAAATAAAATAAAATCTTGCTCTTCAGTTCCTAATGCCAATGACTAATTGCCAATACCTCCTGCCAATGACTAATTTCTGATATGAGCAGGTCGTGAAACCAGAGAAATTTGGAAATGAACAAGAAGGCTGTGTCCAAAAATGCGACAGAAATCTGACACCCACCCTGAAGAAAAATATCAGGAGGTCCAGGAGAAACCCATCTCTGATGAGTCACCTATGACACCCAATTGAAATAGCATCAGCTTGGCGGAGTGCTCGAGTTCCTCCCATGAACTTGGTTACAACGGCTGCTCAGGATCCTAATTCCGACTCACCCCTCGCTTTTTCTTTTTTTTCTTTCTTTTTTTTACCCATCATACCTATTCTTTTTTTAATTTATTTTTTATTGATTATGCCATTACAGTTGTTCTATTCCCCCCTTCATTCCCCTCCACCCTACCTCCCTGTCTCCATCATTACCCCCCCTTTAGTTTATGACCATGTGTCTCAAGTTCTTTAGATTCTATATTTCCCATACTATACTTGCCCCCCATCTATTTTCTATCTACTGTCTATGCTACTTATTTTCTGTACCTTCTCCCCCCTTCTCCTCATTCCACTCCCCTGTTGCTAACCCTCCTTGAGATCTTCATTTCTATGTTTCCACTCCTGATCTAGCTGTCCTTTTAGTTTGCTTTTGTTTTAGGTGTAGACACTTTGAAACGCCTGTTCCATTCTAAGACATGTGGATGTCATAGAATTCCCTCCCTTAGCTGTGAAGGAACTAAGATACCAAATAGTCTGTGATTTCCTGTGAAGAAATATTGGAGACTGCCTTGAGACTGAGCCAGAGATGATTACTGAACATGGGGCCTTAGATAGAATCCTTTAATTCTTGAGTACTTGGTTTCTTCACTTGTAACATGTGCATAATTCCTGTTCTTTCTGCTCCATAGGCTGCAAGCCTGTTGAAAGAAAGTAGAAATTTTACTGTTGAAATATTTTATTGTGCTGCTTTGTGTTTCTATTATCTAACAGGGTACCTGGCACATTATAGATACTTAATATTTTAAAAATAAATGTCAGGCACAGATGATCTAACACTGGAAATGCTGTTTCTAAACCTTTGAAATGTAAGGGAGTATTATCAGTGAACTGGGAAGAAATTTCTAGTAGAAATAAAGATAGTCCATGCTTGCATTTTTTTCTAACATAGAAAAGATTAAACCATTGAACTTCTTGATGAGGGATCTTGGAATTTAAGTTGTCATAAAGAAAGAGATAAAATGATTAAAAACAATCCAATTCTGTCCCTTCGGATCTACTGAAAAATTTACAGCTCAAAGTACTATAATTCCATGTGAGTTAACAAGAATTGATGTTTCCTGGGGCTGAGATGTATGGATGTTGATAAGCACTTACAACTCCTCTTAATTAATACCCTGTCTGCACAGTTCTGCATGGATGAAATTGATAAAGTGATTTAACTTTTGTCACTCATAAATTTAAATTCCTTTTTTATGAGTTACTTTCAAACTTATGGAAATAATGGGATTTCATTAACAATGTTGATGGTATTAAGAAAAAAATGGCATTAGTCCTTAGGATTGCCAGATTTAACAAATAAAAATACAAAACATGCAATATTTGGGATACACTTAAAGTAAACTATCAATTGTTATGTGACATTCAAATTTAATTGAGTGTTCTATATTTCATCTGGCAACCTTTGAAACCTTTTAAAATAGAAGTTTTTTAATTTGTGTTTTGTTTTTGTTGCAGCTACCTATCTCATCCTAAGAAACTTGCCAATTTTTTTATTTAACTCTCCCCTCATTAATAGACTTGGCAATACTGTTTAATTAACTAAAATAAAGTTTTCTGGCTCTTTGACTAATACAAATTTGTGAAGTTGGGAATGGACAGAACACAAAGGACAAAGACCAATCTAAATATAAATAGGAAAAAAGTGAAGATTTGTAACTACAAGGTTTCCATTTTAAGACCTGCAAATGACTTCATTCTAATGCTCAGATGGCATCACACTCTAAAGACTTCTTCATTATTAAAAATGCATTTAAAAATAAGTAGAAGGATGTAAAAATTGAGCCAATAGTCCCATATTATTCAGTCTCAATGATCTTTAAGAATGCAAAGGACAGCTTGTTTCAGGGTTAATACTAAATAACCAAAACCTACAGCTTTGTTTTCAAATAGATTTAATTTGGAATTTAATAAAAATCTACTATCAATCAAGGAAGGCAGCCCCAAAAGTAAATCAATTTTCTTCTTAAGGTATTAAATACCGAAGTAATTTTCTTACACATTTGCAGTTTACAATAAAATTTAGTAGAGATGAAAATTGAAACAGCAAACCAGAACATTTGAAGGACTATATTTAGTTCAAATTAGACATTTAGAGCTTTATTATTTTTACACTTATTATCTACAAACCAGAAGCAAAGAATATCACTATAATTATGGTTGTTTAAAGAGTAGGCAACTCAACATTTAAATTTTAGCAAAGATAAAGGGTCATGAAACAGCAACTTTGGAAAATGAGAAAATTGCACAGTGATCTCATTGGGTTATTTTTTCTGCTTCCACTTTAAGAAAATGACTGAGCAATTATCAGCTTTGTCCAGGCTACTGTCAATAATAATATCAAACAACACAAGACTGATAGCAACTTGGATGAAGAAGGTGTAAAAGAAAATAGGACTTCACTTCTGCAAATTGATTTTGCCATTTTCCAATTACCCTGTTCAGTACCCTGGTGTAGACTGTGAAATTGGCTGGAGCTAGATAAAGTTAAAGTAAAGACAGAATACCTGTGACTCTTATCTTTTAGTAAGTGACATCCTTATTATTTATCTTTCGCAAGATACAGCTACAATAAAATATGACATTTTTCCTTGCTGAAGACTTTTGTGTTGGCTGAATTAATGCCCAAAATGAAGCAACAAAAGTGATTACTTGACTATAAATTTAATATAACATAACATTCATAAAAATCTTATTGTTTTAATTTCTAGAAACTTAAAATATATTATTTAGTTTCTTTAAGTATAAACTCTAAATAGACATTAACATCGGGCTTACTGCTTGGACATTGCTGACATTTATTGTGCCCTAATTTGTGTTCCCTTTGAGGCGATGTGAAGATTCAACATGGAAATAACTAGAAGACTGCATTTTGTGAAAAACTAAATTTGATCATACTGTGTTAAAACACATTCATTTGTCTTTTCAGTATTTGAAATTTAGCATGTATGTGTATAAAGAGACTGCAAAGCTAGTGGCAAGGATATTTGACCTGTATTCTAGGCAGGTACTATATAAAGCCATATTTCTGATACCAAAAAACAATAGGTATAGATACAAATAGAGATGGAGACTGAGTGTGTCCCTTCAAAATGTATGTTGAAATCATACCCCCATTGTGTTGGTATTAGGAGGTGTGGCCTTTGGGAAATGATTAGGTTTGTGAATGGAGCCCTCATAAATGGAATCAGTGTCCTTATGAAAGAGACTCCTAAGACCTTTCACCATATGATGATACAGTGAGAAGACAGCCTCTGAATCAGGAAGTGGGCCCTAACTAGAAATTAAATCTTCCAATGCCTTGAACTTGAACTTCCCAGTCTCCAGAACTGTAAGAAAGAAATTCCTATTGTTTATAAACCATCCAGTGTATGGTATTCTATTATAGCAATCTAAGTAAACTAAGGTGTGTACACGTACTTTGACTCAACAAATCATGGCTTAGAGGCACCAACCACATGCAGTCAAAAATCCACACCTAACTTCACACCCCAGAAACTTAACTACAGTTTATCCTTTGCTTCCACGGGTTTTGCACCTGCAGATTGAAACAACTGGGGATCTAAAAAAAGTATTTTCAATCCACAATTGGGAATCCATGGAAGTGGAAGGCTGAATGTATTAGTAGACTACGATTGACTACATTCTTACTGACAACAAAAACACATTAACACATTATATATATGTATTATATATAATTGAAATATAATATATATGTATTATACATAATACATATATACATATATGTATTATATACTGTGTTCTCAAAATAAAGTAAGCTAGATAAAAGAAAGTGTTGTTCAGGAAATCATAAGGGCCCCTTGCCCCAGCTGCCACTAAGGTGCGAAGTTCTTCCAAGGAAACTAAGGCTGCAATGGAGTGAGGCCCTCACTTCCCCCCAGAGGCTAGCACCCCGCAACTCTCACACAGCACCACATCACGGCCTCTGCCTCTGAGCTCACCTACACCTGAGCTCAGAGGCAGAAATGTGGCCATTTCCCAAAGGCCACACCTCCTGTCATCTACTTGGCCCTCATCCTGTAAGATAATGA